AAAAATAGAAAAAAAAATTTTAAAATAAATAAATTAAAAGCTTATGAGAGCAGAATACTTTTTAAATTAAATAAATTTGGAATACAAATTTCAAAGTAATGGAATAAATTACTACAAGCCAAATAATAAATACAAGCTAATGAATATATAGTCTTATGAATAATAATTATCGAAACAGCTAAAGCTCCAAACTTATCTAAATGTACACTAAGAAAATGTCATGTATCTTAGCAGCTGTCAAATGTCTTGCATAAATTATGCAACATTCACAAGTTTCCTATGCCAGCGCTCTCGTGGCCCCACATGCTGGGACGAGCCATTCATGGTTCATCTGAGCGAGGCTCCTTTTGCGATACATTTGCAGAAGAGTCGCCTTAAAAATTCGATGTTGCTGTTACTGTCACTGTTGCTGTTGTTGTTGTTGTTGCTGTTGTTGTTGTTGTTGCTGTTGTGCGTCGCATCCTCTATACGTCAAATGTCATGCACGTGTATGATAGGTGACACTTGCTAGTTGTTTGACAAACACTGGGATTATGCAAATGAAGTTAGTAGCGTTTGGTATTCATAAACATTTCTATATTTCATGAGCACTCATGAACATTTATGCAGCACTCAAAGCAAGCATTGCGAAAACAAAAACAAAAACAGATGTTGTTTGTGTTATTTTTACCGTCCTCCTGTGTTGCCTGCATCTGTGTGCTGCTGCATGTTTTTATTGGTTGTTTGCATCATATGACTTGGCCGTACGTGCTTGAAAATGAATTGCTTAGCCTCAGTTGGCCCCGGTAAGAAATGCCTTTGAATGCCTTAGTTGGCAATTGAGTTGCACTGAAACTGTGCCTAATTCAATCACCTGCGCTGCAGCAGAGGTTGCTGCAACTTCTATTCCCGCCATCAGCTAACTTCGCACATGGCCATGTGGCACTAAAGCTTTTATCTGATTATCCTAGCAAAGGGCTGGGGGCCTTGACGGGCAAACAAACTAGCAACCGAAGCTCGACAGATTGCAAACATTCAAAGCAAAACAAAAACAGATATCAACAACAACAGCAACGGCGAGTGGAGTGCTTTAGCATTAACCACTAGCGACAACAATGTGAACAAAAAAGTAGAAAAAGCCAAAGGCAAAGCCAAAGCCAAAGGCAAAGGCAAAGGCAAAAGCAAGGCTAAAAGCCCAGCAAAGGCCGCTGAAACAATGCCCGACCAGTTGGTCACCTTTATGGACTCGGTCGCTAGGTGACAGCAGCAGGACCAGCAGCAGCAGGAGCAGGAGCAGGAGCCAGCCGAGAGTTCAGCAAGGAAATCGCATTATGTCCCTAACTCGCTCAGCACTTGCTCCCTATTATATTTTGTCGTTTCTCTGCGGAGCTCTCTCTGCTCTCGCTGCGCTATCTTTTCGCTATGGCCGCTTTGTTGGTTTGATTTTATTCTTTTCTAACGATGCTACGTCTTTGATTGTGCACCTTTTTCTCTCTCTTTTTTTTTCCAGCTGCGACCTCAGCTGCTGTCCTATCGAGGGGGCTATAAATATGAGCAAGCATTTCATAAGATATCCTTAATTAAAGTAATTTCCTCTCTGCTATGGCTGGGTCAGATTTACTGCGGCTTCGGTTTAGCTTAGCCGCACTCGCCTCGTGTGCACATGCTGAAATTAAATTTGCAAGGGAGAGTAAAAGGAAATAAGCTGCGTAACATAAAGGTGCGACCGAAATATGGCAGCACAATGACCCCGTTAAGCACACACACACACACACACAGACACGCCAACCGACAGACAGCCCCACATGTGTGCGACCCCACAGCAAAGGGTTAAGAGCGAAGCTTCGTGTGGCCATTAACATGAAATTTTTAACAACAGCCAAGCAAGAAGCTCCGCGGTTCACCTGGACGGCATTCTTGTTAGCATTTTTGTTTGTCGTGTTGCCGTTGCCGTTGCAGCTGCGATTGCGGCAGGTGGGTGATTGCAAACGACATAAGCAGCGTCGAGGTGCTGCAACAGGAGCTGCTTTTGTCATTGCTTTCAATGGATCTGCGACTTCGCTTTCAGACCGCGGCCCTGCTGTGTTTTTATTCATTGTTGTTTTCGGACTGCGGCATTTTGTTTTTAAGCTCGGCGCCCTTCGTTTCTCGTGCTCTTCTAGCGCTTTCTAGCTCACTTCGCCCGCTTTAAGCCAGCGCACAGGTCTTACCTTTGCGCTATAAGTACTCAAAGCTGTAACTGCACAATACAAAAACTACAACAACAACAACTGCTACTACTCTACTACAATCATATAAACAGCAACCACAGCARCAGCAGCAGCAGTTGTAGCGGGACTTATCCTGCCGCCGTTGTTGTTCTCCTTTTCTGGACGTCGTCGCACAGGATGCGACGCTTATTTATCGCTTTTTTATGTGATATAAACGTTTCGGAATTGGCAACGTAAAGCATTCAATTTATTGTGAGAGAAATTGAGATTGCAGAGCGAACAATAACAACTAGCTGCTGCTGCGGGCGTGCTCCATGGTAAATAAGTCGAAGCCGAACGTAATTGATTCGCCTTGGCATCTGGGACGACATTTCATGGCGACGCTAATTATATGGCATGGCCGAGGGATTCGCAACGCCGCTAAGTGGCAAGAGTTTGTCTGAGATCAGTTTAGTCATTTCCAAACCTTGAAGCGTAAATCATGCAATATCTTCTGGCCTTCCTCCTAACGGTGGGCTCAGCTCTGGCGATAGAGGAACTGCCGGATCCAAAGCATCCGGAGCCCCCGCTTCAACCAACGAAAGCCACTGCAAGTCTAGGTAAGGCAGAGAACACCACAAAGAAAGAAGACCCGAGGCTCGTGAATGTGCCCTTCACGGAGTGCAAGCCCTATGAGGTATTTTCCCTCACCAAGGGCTGTGTCAATCGCAAGCCTTACATGAAGGATATAATCTTCAAAACCTGGAGTAGTAAAAGTGTGGAAAGGGTCATGCTTGGCAATGATTCGGGGGAAGTCCAGTGCGCAATCAATGAGCTACACACCATATTTGGCTGTGAGCCAATGGGAAAGAAGCTGCGCGACAGCGCCGCTCCTCGCGCGGCTGTATTGCCGAACTATCTCTATGGAAGCAAGATTTATAATAGCAAAGAAGCCATTCCCCAAACAGATGACAGCGAGCCCATTTCGAATGGCAATACGGGGACGAATCCATCTCGTGCCCGTCCTCCTTCAGAGAAAGTATTGGGAAGAAACTTACCCTTAGATAAGCCGGAAAGTACTGCCGGAGCAGCTGGTGCAGGGAATGCTACCCAAGGGGGCAGCACCAATGCCACGGCCACACCTGATGAAGTCAATGAAATTCTGCAGAAAGTGATCGGCCACAATCGGAAGAGAAAATATTCGTTCCTGCCAGGCAGGCTGCTTAATACCTACCGCAAGTGCCGCCCCTATGAGGTACTGGGAAAGGGTCGACGTTGCATTCGGAAGAAGGGCAAGGTTGGCTTCTACACGCATCGGAGCCACGTGTACGGAATACAGAAGCGGCATCGTCATCCGGCGATCTACAAGAGCAAGAACAGCAAGAGCTAAGGCTCTGCTCCAAGTATATCTGACTATCTGTAGTATCATGCGAACTGTCGCAGTGAACCATAAATAACACAACAATAAATTACTTCAGCTATATCAGAATCCGGACATACAGACATTTCCTTTGAAGAACTTACACACACACACACACACAGTGAGAGTTTTCTGTTAGTGACTCCGAGTAAGTAATTTACTCCAAGCAATTTTAAATTTTGTTTTAAGCCCGGCCATTCCGTTTAACGACTACCAATTTCATAGGTCCCTTTAATGGCATTGACAGCAAATTGGATTTTAGCCTTGAGCCACGGCACAACAAATTCAAATAGATACGTGCGGCGGGTGCTTAGGCTTCGAGTGATGTGCTTGTAAATGGGCTCGGTTATTTTATAATATGTGCAAGGCTTATAAATGTAAGAGCATAATTAAATGGGATTTGCGCCTTGGGTTACTGAACTCAGCGCCGCCCTGGGCAGCCGCCTGAGAAGGGGGGCTGCGTATGTATGATTGCGCAACGGATTACTGGGCAGCTGCAAAATGGGAAATGGACCAAATGGATGGCTTTGACATGCTAATTAGTTAACCTCTCGCATAGTTGGCTGCCAGCCGTAACCGTAACCGTAACGTMTTTTATGTACAACAAAAGCGCACAAATGTCTACGTCTCCTGCGTTCGGCTGCAAAGGGTCTGCGACGGCGTTAACCATACGCCGCGTTTGACAGACCTCAGAGGATGCGAAGCGTTTAAGTGCCAGCCACCCGACACCAAACATGATGAATAGTTCTGCAATAATTACATTACTTGGCAGTTTCATGTTCACTCCTGTCGAAAGAAAGTCACACGTGGCTGCGCCTGTGGCCATATACAGATGTACACGACTGTAACTAGCCATTATTATTGTGTTGTGTATTGTGTGTTGTGTATTATCGTTGTGTATGCGATTTGCTGTGCAAATAGTGGGCCATCAATATGAGCAGCTGCTTGCGGAACATTAATCATATTCCGTGTTAATTAATCAATTAATTATGTTCTTGAAACTGTAAATTTGTCGCCTTGTGCTTAGTCAGTGCTCGGCTGCGACTCCTGCCTCATAAATTATGGCCGAGACTTTTGTCCATCCATCTGCCTAACGCCTGACAGCCATGCCAATCCAGAAGCTGATAAGATATTAGTGACTCTTTAAATCGCACGTAATTGGACGCATTATTCGATTGCATTTGCATTTCGCTTTGTTTTCCAAAATCTGCTGTTAAACATGCACAAATGCGGCTCAAGGCAGACCGTGCTTTAATCCGCTTTGCAGCCTGCACTGAGTTGATCTATCCTAGGATTATGATTTTAGTGAAATATTTAAAATCGGTTGCTCTCGAGTCGCTAAGCCAGCAATCTGGCTGCAATATTGCATTTGTCAGCGCTCCAACTATAAATCGCATCGCCTCGCAAGTTGTCAGCGTGAAATTGAAATTCATGAAATATCGAATATTGAAATATTTAAATCGAATGTCAAAAATTCCTGTCTGTCCGCTCGTCAGCAGCTGGCGAGCCTGGCTGTCAGTGAATTGTACGAAAACGTTTCTCCTCAGCTTGCTATATTTTCACTATATTTCCCTCTGGCTCGCACACACACAAAGCAACACCAGTAACTGACATCAGCGAGTAAGAGTTTTAGATATATGTATATGTGTGTGTGTGTGTGTGTAAGGAACGTTTTCTTTGCAGCGTTGTCTGAAATATCAAATGTTCTATTAAGCTAAACTCGCAGTGAAACATACTGAAATGGAATATGGCAGAGTGTGTAGCAGCTTATTGGCATAAGCATGAATCGACGCCACTTTCACTCGGACTCCTCAGATGCCATGGAGCAGCTCTGCTATATGCCATATCATATAGTCAGTCATGCTTAATATGCTGTGTGCAAAAGTGCTCGAGTATTGAGTTAGCCTTGCTTATTTATTTTCCCATTATACGAAAACAAAAGCAAGAACTCGCAAGATAACAAAACAAGTTGGACCTATGTTTGTTGTTTACCGATCGAAGCGGAAAGTATCAATTAGATAAGGGCTCTACGCAGCAGAGGAATGTCGTTTAAACAACCCAAAACTTACTCGAAATCCCCATCAACTGTGTGAGCTTTTGAGTCGGACTGCGGACTGGCAGTCGTCAATTGAAGTGGCTCTGGCTGCGTATTTGCATATTGTTGTTTGCTTTGGTAATTAAGTTACCAACTTATTAAGCGTGTTTATGATGTTTACACAACAATTTATTTACCATAATATTTGCGAGCGTTTAAGCCAAGCTGTTGCTGTTATTGTTGCTGTTGTTGTCGGTGTTATTATTGCTGGAGTCCTGCTAATATTATTACAACTGTGATTCGCGCGTCGGACTCTGCGTGGAGATTTGTGGCGATTTGCGTTGTGCAAATAAATGAATAAAATTAAAAAAAACCAAAAAAATACAAATGAAAAAAATACAACACCAGACACTCAAACAATAATAAAACATTCAATTAAGCGCTGCGGCTGTTCGGGTAATTACATAAATGGTTTATTTATTCTGTGTCGCGACGATTCGCTGGCCAGTCCAAAATTATTTTACTCGACTCGCGCTCGCTGTGCTCTACATTAAATTAAATGCCGTGTCGCAGCTACACAGTAGGCGCTGATGTCAATTGCCATAAGAACAAGCTCATAAACGTTACGCATACGCCATGTAAGCCCTATGAGAGCACGTCGCGCCGTCGTCCGGTTGGGATGGCATCATTCAGATGTTGGGCAAACGTGGCACATGAAATACCTTACTCATTGGCCCCACAGACTGAAGTGCTTAGTCATACATGGATCCACACACACACAGACACACACACGCGTATATTGTCCAGCTTGTGCTGGTAGACATACAAATACGGGGCCGTCACTTAATAGATGCAGACACATACTGAGCATATCCTGGATCGTGTCCTTGCGCCGGGGAATGTTGATGATTTTGATGTTCGTGTCATTTGAAAGCGTTATGCGTGACGAAACGGAAGCTCTTAAAAGCCACAATAACTAAACGCTTGAACTGAAGCCAAAAGCCGCCGGACTCAGCTTGCCCTCAACCCGAAAGAGACATCAAAATATTCATAGTCGAGGCACTGACGGGGCACTCTCGGTGTCTGGTGTCGTCCTGCTTGGCGGCGTATGCAGCGGTCGCCATGGCACATTAAGAAGGACTCTTTCTGGCTGTAAATTCTGCTGTTTTATGCGCTTTTTGTTACGCACTGCTTGAGCGGCGGCCGGACAGTGCCACGCCCCCCAAAATAATGACGCCAAATGTAATGGCAACAGCAGCAGCAGCAGCAGCCAAGGCAACAGCCAAAGCAACAGCAACAACATGAGCTCATTATTTTAATTAGATGCGAGCCAGGAGTCTAATAATCATGACTTCGTGCCAATTTGCCAGTTAGCTAAATGGTCACAAATGTGGCAGCTGTGTAGCATTTAATTAAATTAAGTAAATGTCATGGTGTCATTATTGTTTTTGTGAACATTTTAATGCATTTTAAATATTTGTGTTTGCAGGCAGAGATTGCGAGAGGAACTGGGCTGGGGCTGTGAGCTGATATTAGCATATTTCATATATAAATTCATAATGTGCTGGGACATAATTTAGATCAGAGAAACACAACATGACGTTGCCATTATGCGACTGGGCCCAGCAGGCCGATCAAATATCAATAGCTATGTCTAATCCACTGGGAAGCCATGTGCCAGATAAACACGCACTCCCACTCAGCTCATACGCCACGTAACCTGCGGCCGACTGAGACATATTGCGTTAGGCCACAAGCACGCTGGCCTGGCCATATAAAAAACGAGGCCTGGCCTGGCAAAGGACTGATGTATAGTCTATATGTCAACTACATCAAACTTGGGTAGCTGTTTGCCCTGGCAGCTAAGCAAACATCGGCCCAACTCCGTCGAGAGCTGAGCCGCAGTCTGAAATGTGTATATCATTTGGATTGATTGCCCAGCCCGAAAAGCTAGGCCATGATGCGTCTTTGTTTGTTTGTAACTGTCGGTAGGATGCCTGCTCCTTGGCCGCTCTTCGCCTGGCCCGCGCTGTGCCCATTGAAAAGTGGCAGCGGCGGACAGGCGAAGCCCACATATGCTTTCGTTGTCACACTTGGATTGTCGGCACGTGCAGAGACGTAAATGAGTTATGAAATGCGAAGCTGTTGTCTTATCGACGGGACCAAGTGGGACGTGCACCAAAATTATTAATAAATCAAAGCATAAAACTTCATACCCAATATTGGATTTTCATGGGTTTAAGAAAGCTAAAGCCACCAAATGTGATAAACTGATTATAATTTACTGGAAAAAGCCAGCATATATTTGCACCTTAAAAGCCTCATCTATATGGTCGGAAATAATAATATTGATCTAATAAACAATGCATGAAAAGAACTGGATTTATACATATTTATTGAATATAAAAATATAATGAATGTAAATTTTTATTTGAAATATTTTTGTTTAAATGATGCAAGTATCAATTGAATGAATGAATTTAAAATAATTGTATCATATAATAACATAAACCAATTTTTTTTTATTTTTATTTCATATGAATTGTTATTTAATATTGCTTTGCAAAGAATATCAAGCAACAGAGATGGATTTGTATGTATTTTATGTGAAATTGCATTGATGATATAATATAATATAGAGTTTTGTTTATTGCATATAGAAATGAAATAGATATAATATAAT